CTCAGGGAAGAGTTCTGTTAATGGCTTCTGGATAACATCTCATTTTTTTAAGTGCAATTGGTAGAATACCACTTAACACTTAAGAGTTTCCAGGGCTTGTAACACATTTACAATTAATAGATGCATTAAGCTGTTTGACACACTGCTTTCTTGACTTGAATTACGTGTGAGCCACATCTGTTCCGCGCTTAAGGCAGAATGTCTTTTGAATGACACCCTTTTCTTTTCTGGTTCCATATACAATCTGTCCCCCTTCGACTTCCTTTAAACTGTCCCATTCCTTCATAGTCTGCCTTCCTGAAATGGCAAACCCTGAGCCTTGTTCTCTAACTACAAAGTCAACTTGTCAAAGTCAACTTCGAAGCACACCATGCTGTGATCACAGTTGCCAATTGGTTTGCTTTCCCCCATTTTCTTTACTCTGTCATGATAAGATCAGTGCAGACATGCTCTCTAAGTAGGTGATCTGACATGCATAATAAGAAAGCAGACAGTAGCTGGATCTGCCATTATATGTCCAGCTACTCATCTCTCTGTTGTATTTCCTCTATGAGAAAAATTAAAATGCCCCATAATACCACTTTTTCCTTTACACACATTCCTCATTTCATGTTAGAATACAATATAATTGTCTGATATAATTTCCTCAATTTCTGTGTGCTGAAGGTTTGTGCAAAAGTAAATATTTTTGGCATTTTAAGATGATTTCCTTTCAATAGTACTTCCAAACATTGAAATACTGTAAACTCTGTTTCATAACATTTAGGTTTTAAAATTTCTACATGTCTCATTTTTCAGTTCTAGAAAATGCTAGCCCTACTGATGATGGATATGAAAAGCATGTTAATGATATGAGTTGCACTTAGGTTCTAACCTTTTAAAATAAAAATCAGAACGTATTTTTTCATCTCCATCATTGCAAGTAATTGAAGAATGTAATGCATATGCCCAGGAGCTGTCAAGCCAGTTCAGTGCAAGCTTTGCTCTGGTTACACCTGATGTGCAGCTTGACATGAATTCATGCACTTAAAAAGCATTTCTTTTGGTTTCTTTTCTTCTCTGCAAAAGTGAAATCTGGCAGCATCTTGGTGTTAAATGATAAGCCAAGGGCAGTGTGGAGTTTTCCAGTAAGGAATGACGGATGTGATGAAGGAAGGAATAATTCACAAAGAAACAGATTAAGGTTTATTCCGTGCTGAAAAGAAGAGACACAATGTTCCGGCAGTGGAGCCTTCTTCGGGTGTTTCTCAAAGAGCCTAGGGAAATCTGAGAAACTGGATTGCTTTCTTCCAGAATTTGACCCTTCCTTCTAGCTAATTGCAAATATTTCCTAATTGCCTGGAAATCAGACGTGATATACCATGCTCTTTTTTTTTCTCCTGTGGAAATCTACCTATGGACCAAATGTTACATTGGCTCTAAGCACTTCAAATATATGCTGAACTTTCAAAGATCAGGCTGTTGCATTACATTGGCTACAATTAATAAAGATTTACCATCTGTCCCAAAGTAGGTTGGGAGTGTCCTTCACATCACACCAGGTAGTGTTGCACTTCTTGTGCCCTCAGCAATTTAGGGAAAAGTGAGTCTCATAGCCTAATGAAGATAAGCCATTGGAGCTTCCTCATTTTAAGACATGTAGTCATGGTACTTTGTATATGGTGTTTGCATGCCCTTCTCTGTTTTTTCCTCCTGCTTCCCAAAGACACGCTGCCTTGATGATCTGCTGTCTTTAAATTGTCCGTTTGCTTGTGCGCGTGCACCCTGCAGTGCTCTGGTGCCCTGTTTAGGGTGTAGTCGCTCTTGGCACTCTGTGCTTCTGGGATGGTCTCTGCGTTGCAGCTACTCTTATCGGGGACCAAGTTGTTTTCTGAAACCAGATGGATGTATGCTAAGTCATGAACTTCCCTATTTCTTCCTCTCAACATATTTATAATAATAATTGTTTACACTTATATAGCGCTTTTCTGGACACTCCACTCAAAGCGCTTTACAGGTAATGGGGACTCCCCTGCACCACCACCAATGTGCAGCATCCACCTGGATGATGCGACGGCAGCCATAGTGTGCCAGAACGCTCACCACACATCAGCTATCAGTGGGGAGGAGAGAAATATAGCCAATTCATAGAGGGGGATTATTAGGAGGCCATGATTGGTAAAGACCAATGGGGAAATTTGGCCAGGACGCCGGGGTTACACCCCTACTCTTTTCGAAAAACACCCTGGGATTTTTAATGACCACAGAGAGTCAGGACCTCGGTTTTACGTCTCATCCGAAGGACGGCGCCTGTTTTACAGTATAGTGTCCCCGTCACTATACTGGGGCATTAGGACCCACATGGACCACAGGGTGAGCGCCCCCTGCTGGCCCCACTAACACCTCTTCCAGCAGCAACCTTAGTTTTTCCCAGGAGGTCTCCCATCCAGATACTGACCAGGCTCACACCTGCTTAGCTTCAGTGGGGCTGCCAGTTGTGAGTTGCAGGGTGATATGGCTGCTGTTTTTTTAGCACTGATTTGCTTGTTAGTGCTAAAAAAATCTGTTTTCCCACCTACTATCACATTGTCTTCTGGGTGCAGTATTTCTTTAGATCTTCCTACTGCTTCCCCCCTGCCCTTTCCGAAAGAAGTTTTTCAAAGCCTCTTTCCTAATGAGAATTTGGAAATCGGCCATTATAACACCTTACTTTCTGCCGTATCTGGTTGTGTGGAACTAACCGGTCAGTTCCTTAATTAGGTTGGTGTAATTAAACAGATGTGGGTGCCAGACATAGTGTTGATGAGCAATCCTGAAGGTGAGTAATTGAACGCATCTTCTGGGGGGTTGCCACAGCAACTGAGAGTAAAGGGAGGTGTAAGGAGGCTTGAATACTGTAGTCTCACAGAGCACCTCAGTACTCTGCTATTGGAGGTGTGACTGCTCTGCATTCAGATACTTTCATAATGCCTTCATTTAATTGTGCTTTATTTGCCTAGCAGAAAGAAATACATTTGTTAATGTTAAGTGATTCCTTTTGACCTATTTAGTATTAAACAAACTGTAAGATTCACAAGACAAAAATACTAAAAAAAACAAATACCGCCCCCCATACTTCTGTGTTGAGGTGTTTGTTATATCAAGGTTTCACTCTACACTTCATAGAAGTATTTCACCTTGCAAAAGTTAATTCAAATATAATGGGTTAAGGAACACGTCCCTTTAAGATGGTTCGTATTGCATTTTTGAGAAGTGTTAAACATTAAGTGGAAGTTGCAATGCATCATTTAACACGAGACAAATCTACAGTTCGGGATGGATGAAAGAAAGCATTCTCCTTCATTTTTGTCTGCAACAGAAGACAAAAGAAAAAAACAATCAATTGTCTCAAATAAATTGGCTGCCAGCTGCAGATCTGAGCAAATTAAAAATCCTGTCTCCTGATTCTATTTTCAGACTGTGTTTTTCACTCGGCAGTGTTTGCTGTTACTTCTATCTTGGGTGGAAGCTCAGCTGCGTTATCTCTCGTGGATGTTTCTGACAAGGTTATGATCGTGTCAGTCTTTGATTGCACCCTCGGGCTGTTTCCTCAGGAGAGGTTTTCCTGATAGGGTGCCGGGGGGGTTGAGTGCAGTTTGAAGGCAGTCAAGTGCTGATTGAAGGCATTCTCCAACAGTGTTGACTTTGGTGTATCAAGTGGCTTGGGGGATGAGAAGTCCCTCTGTGTGGGGAAATGCTTCAGCAGGTTTGTGTGAAAGAGCCGTCACCTGCAGTTTTACCAGCACCTCCTTGTGTTCGTGTGCTGCTGCAGAGATCGGGGAAATTCGTGAGGTTCTGCTGTTAGGGAACTGGGGTGTTGATGTCACCATGTCAGTGGATGCTCCCACCAGATATATGTGCAGAGCGGTGGCTCTGTGGCTAAGGATCTGCGCCTGTGGCTGGAAGGTTGCCGGTTCAAATCCTGCGGCCGGCAGAGGAATCCTACTCTGTTGGGCCCCTGAGCAAGGCCCTTAACCCCAACTGCTGCAGGGGTGCTGTACCTGTAAACAGCTGACCCTGCGCTCTGACCCCAAGCTCCTCTCTCCCCGTCTGTGTGTCTCATGGAGAGCAAGCTGCGAAAAGAAATTGCTAATGTAAGAAATTGTATATGGCTAATAAAGTGCTCTCTCTCTTATATGCTACTGCCTTCCTCCTTATATACAACTGCCTTCCTCTGTTCTATTTTTTTGTTTTGGCAGGTTTGTACAGAGTCAAACCTTCTCTGAACTAAAACCTGCTCATCCTTTAATTTCTCTGTAGGAATACTCAAAAGGCTTTTGTCGAGGCTTGCAAAATTACAGTATTGAGTGATTGCCAGAGAGTTCATCTGTCCATATTTGTTGGGGTTAATCCTAGTGTAATTAAAAAAGGCAGCAACAAATAAAACCTGAGAACATGTCACTTTTTTTTTTAAATGTCACTTCTGGACACAGGTACATGGCTCTTTCTTCCCATAGACCATTGGTAAATCAGTTAAGGCATTAAACCGAGGTTAATTTCACCTAGAACAAGCAGTCACTCACGATATTAGGCTGCTAATACCATTCATTTTGACTGACAAACTGAATCTAGGCTGATTTCCGGTTATTGAAAGTATCATGCAAAGTACCATAATGACATGTAATATCTCACAGTAAAAATGGGTCATTTAAGTTAAACAAGTTATATTTGTCTAACAGACCACCGTGTCTCAAAGTACCAGCACTGCTATATGGGTCAGTATGTGTTATGGACAACCACTGTAAATAAGGTACAGGATTCAAGTACAGCAATTTAATCAGCATGCAGTACAATAATAGAATCTTTAATAAGGTGCTTGGATTGCTGAAGCGGTTTATTCTGTTTGCCTTCCTAGAAATGATAAATTTATATGTCAGTTTTGCTGTGATATGATGTAACAAATTACATTTTGCTCCAATGTTATGCATGTTCATGTGTAGACCAGGATAGCACCCTTTAATGTTGTAATGTTTCCTTTTCAGGTTCTTCTGCAGCATGAACCCTGTTTATAGCCCTGCACCAACAGGGGTCCCCTATCCAAATTCAAAGGGAATCGGATACCCAGGTAAGAAGAGCACGTGTGGGATACAGCATAGTGTGCGCAGCTCCCTGTACGGTTTGCAGTGTTAAGTAACCAAGATGCTGTGAAACAGCTTTTGTAATCAGACAAGAGTATAAAAGCATAGTGGGAGTGGCATAGTGGACTTGAGGTTATCGGTGCTGCCTTGCAGCTCTGGGGCCCGGGGTTCAGTTCTTGCGCTGTGTGGAGTTTTGTATGTTCTCCCCATGTTTTGTTCTATAGCCCAGGCATACTGGTAGATTAATTGGCTTTTGGGAAATTGGCCCTGGTGTGAATGTGTGCTTGTTGAGTTTGTGTCTGCCCTGGGGTGGACTGGCTACCCGTCCAGGGTGTTGCCTGCCATAATAGGCTCTGGCTCCCCCAGCGTTCCTGAATTGGGGAAAAAAACAGTTAGATACTGGGTGGATGAATAAAAGCTTGGGGATATGTGTATAGAACTGCAGTCTTTAACTGTGTGCAGTATGGAACAGCAGCACTGTCCAATGAATTACAATTAAATTGCTCTTATCTATCTTGCATTTTCGTTTTGTGACAGTCGGATATAAGATCAATACCTGTGGTCAGAATTGATGGCAGCTGGTTTCCTTTAGTTGATGCTCCTCTTCAAACACGATGAACATAATTCCTTATATTTATGTTTCTTCTTTATTGGGATTGGCACTTTTCATCCCAGAGGATCCCAAAGCACTATACAGACATTGTAAGGGATGAGTGGCAGCAAAATGTGAGAAATTGCTTCACCACTTGAAATAAGGTGGAACTTTAAGACCCGACTGCACAAGCTCAGAGTCGAATTTAGTCAAGAAATGTTGAGTAACGCCCCTGCTCTTTGGAACCATATACCTGCTCCAAAATTATGGTCCAAGGGAAAGAGTGCCACCTACTGGTCAACCAGCACAACCTGCGGCAGTTTGGATTTCTTTGGAGGTCCCTCAGCCTGGCTTAGTTTCTGAAATCTGAATTGAAGATCCCACTTCAAAGTAGTCATTCTGCTGCAAATCTTGTCACCTCTACCAACTTGTAATAACAGCAGTCAGACAGAACTCATTTTAAAAAGCTCTCTTTATTTCTTTAATCTTTATCAGTACTCTGTTGGGTAGATAGAGTGAGATCTGGCCTAGTTATGATGGCCTATATTCCTGTCTGTGATGTCTCATTTTCTGATCTGCATCTGTCACTGCTGTGTTTCGTCTGTAGCTGGTTTTCCAGTTGGCTATGCGGCAGCAGCTCCAGCATACTCTCCCAACATGTACCCAGGAGCCAGCACAGCGTTCCAGACAGGTAGGCGTGCATGGTCCCTCAGATGCAGGGCTTTGTGCCAGTCGCAAGCTGCTGTCTGGGCTTCACAGAGCCTTCCCATGCTGTCATGTCTTAAGTCTTCTTCTGCCAAAACTGTCACACTAATATGAGCCACAGTGTTTACCATAGCGCATAAATGCTCTGGTTGCTGTCTGTGCATATCTGCATTTCATTGAAGCAACAAACATTTTTCAAAATGGGGCCACTTCTTTTCCCCATCATAGCCTGGAATTGCCTGCTGCTCTTGAGCTTACAGTTCTGAAGAGAACGCACTTGTCTGAGTGGATTGCCTTCTTACACAGAGCTAACCTCACAGGCTTTAACTGAGGAGTTTTCTCCTCAGCTGGAGAGATGGTGCGCCTCATAGTGGTACCTGGGGATTCTTGCTCAGCGAGTCAAGGATATACGTCCAGCCCTGCTGGTCCACTGAGGGTCCACGAGACGGCTTGTGTGCTCTGGGACTCCTGGTCCAGTCCAGCCAAGAACCTAGCCCTGACATTATCTGGACAATATGACTTGACCTGCACCTGGAGCAAGTGCCTAGTTCCAGTTCAGCCAGTCTCGAGTCTACTGTATCGCATTTAGGCATTTCTAAGTTGCCCTGTCAAAAAGGAAAAGTCAAAATACTGATTTTCGTAGTCAAATGTTAGAATTTTGTTAGATGATTAGAAAAATATGCAGGGGGGAGACCTTGAACTTTCTTGTTACAACTGTTGGAATGAAGTGATGTCTGTTTCTGAGGTGCCAGGTGAGATTCAGCTTGTTTTTGTGGGCTTCGTTTCAGGGTACACTCCAGGCACGCCATACAAAGTATCCCCAACCACTGGTGCGGTTCCCCCTTACTCCTCATCACCAAACCCCTATCAGGCTGCTGTCTACCCAGTGAGAAGTGCCTACCCCCAGCAGAACCCCTACGCACAGGTAACACGAGATCGGCTCTTCCATTCTTTCAGTGGCTTAATTGCAGTGTTCCACTTATTACAAGCGAACACTGTTTCCAGGCCTTAGTCTATGAAAATCCCAGGTTCTCTACAAAACATGCAAGTCTGGGGATCTCCAGGAGCAGGGGTGGGTATTTGTTCTCACGGAGATCACAATTTTTGTGGTGATTTTAATCATCAAAATTGTCCTTTTTAGGGCTTTGGCTGGATCTTGCGTTGAATCCGGAAACATCAGGGAAAAGCAGTGTTTTGTATTTCCTGACCTTCATCTTTTGCAAAGTGAATACCTTATTGTTTGACGCAAATGTTCAGCTATTTTTACTTTATCTTTTCTCACTACCTAGCACAGCACCTATCTCAACAAAGCCCAGACTCCTCCCACTTACACCATCTTGTCACTTAGCAACTGCAAGCACGCCGGTCAAAATTAATTCTTGGAGGCCCTTTACCAGCGATCTCTGAAACGCTGATGGATGTTCAAAGGACAGCATGTTGATTATGTACTTAACAGCTGTGCACGCAACATACCATCTGAAAATTTACAATTTCTGCTTAGTTTAGCTGCTTAATAACTTGGGTTGGGTTGAAGCTGACAATTTGCCAGGGAGTCCAAGTAAAACTGCTGCCAGGCCTGTGAGAAGAGAGGGGCAGAGAGTACTGTTTGTAGAATGAAGGATCAGTTACACACTTGCTCTGATAAGGCAACTGTAGACGTTTAGGTTTTAAATTCTGAACGTTACTTGCTAATGTTAATCTACTTTTTATCAAAAATTTCCATCCTTAGTCTTCCCTGGTTTACTATTACTGGGTTACGTCTTTTAGATTTTTCTTTTCAATCGCGTCAAACAGTGTTTCTCGGACCTGGATCAAGGAGATGCTCTGCCTTCATTTTTTTGCTGCTTGTTCTTTAATCACAGGGAAATTGATTTCCTGTTTCTAATTTAGACCTGTTTTTCTTTTCTTTTTCCCCCACTCATAAAAAAGTGTTCGTAATTGGTATCAGCCCTGTGTTAATTCCTTGTTTCAGAGCTGCCCTGAACTGAAATGTAATCGTTGTGGGAGTATTTGCCAGTCATTGCCACTGCAGGTGTTTAATAGTGTTCTTCTCCCTCTGTGTTCGTCCTCAGTTGAGCTCCTGTTAAAAACTTTTTTGTCAGAAATAAGTGAGCAAATTCTTAATCGACAAGTTACTCGGAAATTGGTGTCTGTTTCTGCAGAAAGTGTGTTAAATCAGTCGTGATGTTTTTTTCAGCGCAAATCACCAAATCTATTGAATGAGAAAAATACATGCACATGTATTATATATATGCTTACTCTATCTTTTGACAATTTTTTAGCAATTGCAATCAATGCAGTCAATGAAATTTATCCCATAAATATACAAACTCATGTGTGGTAAATGTAAAGTATAACATTTGCTAAAGCATACAATTGTCAACACCCATTGTAAGCAATCGGTCTACCCCTTATAGGGCCAACCTATGTAGTATTATTTTTATTTTATTTTTGTGCATTTCATCGTTATTGTGGGGAATGTCTGATATTTCTGATTTTAAAAACTTAATTCCCCTTATGCAGATGTCCATTAAAGTGAAGTGTGCTAGACCAAGGGTTTACTCTACCTTAGGGCATTTTTCTAAACACAAGGCCTGAGTGCAGAACGCAGTCTAAATAAGCAAGCATATCGGTAAAATGCATCGATGAGTATTGGTGGTTAAGGACCCAGTTGTTCTGAAAGCCAAACACAGTGGTTCCCTGGGCCAGCATCGAGAGCCACTGAGGTCAGTTTTACCAGTGCACCCGCTGTTAATAAATGAATTCCCCCGAGACTTATAAATAAATGCACTGTAGCAAATTGGATATCAGGTGAAGAAAAACAAGTAACCTGCTTTAATTGCAGCTGTACTCTGCATTTTCTCTTTTTCTGGGCTGCACTATGTTCTAGAATCAGCAGCAGTAGTGATGGTGATTGCCCTACCTTTCAAACTTTCTACAAGGTTTTTTTCCTTTGTCAACACTTGCATACAGATTTTTTTAAAAGGTCATACTAATGAGTATCTGCTGTAAATGTTGTGTATCATATAATGATTTTAATGTTATGCATTATTCCCTACTCCTGTTTGTGTAACTTATCAATTGTAGACATCTTTCAATCTGATAGACTCTTAAGGACCTTGCCTTATTATATTCTGTGATCATCCTGTCAAATTACAGTAGATAGAAGCAATAACTGAAAATGTCTCCATCGTCCATTGCTAATTAACAGTGTGTTTTGTTATTTGATGGGCTCAGGAAAGTGTTGGCATCAGAGAGTTGCCACCTGTTTTGCGCATCTGATGTCAGTCTCATGAAGTGACTGTCTCTTTCTTTCTCAGCAGCAGGGCACTTACTACACACAGCCTCTCTACGCCACGCCCCCTCATGTCATTCACCACACCACAGTGGTGCAGCCCAATGGCATGCCAGCTGCCATGTATGCCCCTCCCATTCCTCCTCCTCGAGCCAATGGTGTCACCATGGGGATGGTAGCAGGGACCACTATGGCGATGTCGGCTGGTAAGTGCTTAATGCCACCTGTCATGGTTCTTCAATTATTTCGGTGGTGTGAAACGTTTCGAAAAGAGAGTGAGATAATTGTACCAAAGGCCTGTCTGAGGATTAAAAACATTATTTTTTTTATTTACTCTGCCCTGCATTTGCCAGCCTTACCAATGGTTCCAGTCTTACGATGGGAGCCCGTTCCCTGGCTGTTGTAACTAACTCTGAGTGTTGAACTTCCTAGACAGCTATGTCCACAGGGGTTTTATTCACATTGCAGGTGGGAAAGGGTCTCAAACTCTTGTGCTCATACCACCTTCACTCTCCTGTCTTTCGCATTGTCCACTTAAATGTTGTTGATTTTAGCTGCAAAAGGAGGTCAAAGCTGTTGTTTCTTCCTGATGTTTAGAACCTGTGTATATTTTTCTTTTTCCCAGGGACTTTGTTGACGACTCATTCCCCAACTCCAGTAGCCCCTCACCCTGTCACAATGCCCACATACCGGCCCCCTGGCACGCCCACCTACAGCTACGTGCCCCCACAGTGGTGAACTGTCCGACAGTGTAAGTGTTTGGTAGCTCGTGTCTGTGCTTCTGTGCGGCTCAGTCTTCGCCCGAGTAGAACGGTAGTGTGTTCGCACTTTATTCCAGACCGAAATTCAAGTAAGCGGATTCACAAATTTTTATTTGGCAGATGTTGAGCCCCTATTGTACGAACAGTTGAGGTTCCATCTTGCCTTTGGCGTTCTTTGTATTCTCCGAATCAGTTGTTGACTGGTTCAGTTCACAAACACATCTGCCGGCAAGGGCACTGCTTCTCAACTTGAGCAGGGCTCTCTGCAGCCACAGTCAGCGAGTGCCCTTGTTGGGCAGTGCAGTACTGCTCTCTGAGACGGCGCAAGGCCGCATGCTTGAAGAGTGTTCTGCTGACATGCCCAAGGAGTCAAGCTCTTGCCTGCTGCGTTCCCAACAGCACTGTAGATGGATATCCACCACTATTCAGAATCACGACCTGGAAAACAGTATTTTGCATTGAATTGGATTTTAGAAAGCATGGTGTCACTGGAATGCATATAATATTTCAATCTTTGTGTGATTCATACCTGTTTTAAGTAGTAGGTGTTAAAAATGAAAAGGAACTCCCACACGAATTTGGCAAATTTGTTGCTGATTATGGAAGCAGGGTAGGTAGTACAGTTGTCTCACAAGTCGTGGGTTCTAGCTTTGGTTCTGAAGTTAGCATGTCCCGGAATTAGCATGTTGTTTCTACATGTGTTTCTTCCGGTGTTACTGTATGCTCTGGTATCCTCCCACCCTATCTAGAGACAAACAGGGCAGGTTTGATTGGCTGTGCTAAATTGACCACCCAGAGGGCAACTGTTCCTGCTCCCATTGGTCAACCATATGTTTTTGGAAACACTATATCCAAGTCACAGGTCGCACATGCGATGGATTACATATTAAAGCTCTTCAGTCAAACATTGCTTATTAATAGCATAAACGTTGTTAATAATGTGAAATGTGTTAATATGTGGAAGTGTTTGCTTTAAGTTTTCACCTACAGTCCAAGCTGGATAAAGTGCACAGATGCTTTGTATTTCTTACCTGAGAGAGTGTTGATCCCACTGAGTAAACCCTGGGAGTTCCATTGTGTTTTTTTTTTTTGTCAGGTGGTGTTTCAGTATTTGTCCTGTGCTTTACTGTTACTTCCTTTCCAGTTACTAAGTTGTAGTGCACTGTATGCAGCAAAAGTGTATGAGACTTAACTTTGAAATGTTTGGAATGTGCCCCTCGGTCAAAGTTACACTCTTGAAAATGAGCATTGATTTATTTAGCTGATTTATAATAAACCTTTATTCTGCATTACTTCCTCTGATTTGAAAACTGCAAAATAAGATTCTATATAGCCGTTATAAAGCAGTTAGAGGCAAACTAATAAAATGGTTGAAAAAGGTGACATTTTTTCATAAACCTCATGTGGCCCAATATACACTGAAGCAGAAATACAATGCAGACAGCAAGTGCAGCAAAGCATTTTAGTCTTTTTTTTTTTAACAGAGAGCACATGGTGACAGAGCTCTGACCTACTGATTTATGTCTGAGACACCTGCTGTCTGCAACCCAGATCCACAGAGACAGACGTGGGGTTGCATCTAAATCAGTACCAAACCGGCAGTAATATAGTGAGCAAATGAGACTGAGGTTATCGCCACAGCATAGAGAAAACAAGTACTGCTGCTCCGAAAGAAGTTACCACATATCGACAACCTGTGATTGTTTTTTTTTTCTTTGTCTTTAGTAAGGTAGTATTTCTTTAATGCAAATTACTTTGGTCTGTCGATTATTTCTTTGTTAATTCTGTGTATGTTGCTTAATATCGAGTCTAACACTTGCGCAATAATGGGATTGCCAAGAAGGACATTTTCCATCATGTACTTTTGTTGTTGCTTAGTTGCAAGTTGTCAGTGTTTGGCATTGCCTCTTATCAGTTAAATCCTGATTTACGTGAAACCGTGCGTGTTCCAGGATAGAGATGGATTGTAAACACTGCACAAGTTCCAGCAGGTGTAACGTGGCATCTTGCATGTAGAAGCAATGAAAAAGAGCCATTGTGTGCAATACCCCCCCTGTTCAAAATGCATGCTTAGCTTTTTACATGTCAATTTTAAAATTAATATTAATTTACTAAAACTATGCTTTTTTTGGTCTTTACAGGTTTCAAGATGGTAGATATGCATTCATATTCAGTCCAGTATTGTTCAATTGGTGCTGATGCCCCGATGTCTCCAACCAGGATTTCTTCCTTCCAAAATGCTAAAAAATAATCTGTTCGAAAACGCAAAAACGGAACCGGAATAGGGAATCTTCCCATGCTCCCAACACCTTGCTGAAACACTACCGGGCACCCCTCTCAGCCTCAACTGCATATCTCACATCTGGTAACAAGGTCTTGATGCAAACGTGTGTTTTGTGGACTGTCTTGCAATTTTATAGCTATAAAAATGTTAAAAAAGGGAGTATAATTTTATTTGGGTCCATATCTGGTTGAATGCATGTTTAAATACAAAAAAAAATGCTTGCTCAATCTACCTGCAGTGACTGATGCAAGACTGTCGTATGCAAAAAAATCCAAAGGAAGTGAAAGAAGATCATGAAAAACAATTCTCTGCAACTCTGTATCACTAATGCAATGTCTTAATGTTCTTTTTCTTTAAAAAGTGTAAGCCTGTTGTATATATAAAAAAAAAAGCTCAGTGCAGTTTGGTTTGACGCACTACAGTTCAGAATTCTTTTCTGGTTTGGTGTTGCCTGAGTGGTCAGACCAAAGGAGATGGTCTCATTTCATTGGCAGTGCTGCATCTATTTAGCTGGTGAGGAATGGCATCTGAGGTGAATGAGGTGGTTGTGAGTGGTGTGTTCATGAAGCCGCTGCCTTTTTTGTCCTTGCGTGTAGTGTTGTCAAAGAAGCACATGTCCGTGGTGGAGCGAGTGCGCACGTATTGAAAGAAGTGTGCAGTAAGGTCTAGGGGAGCTTTGAACAGTTCTGCACAATTGGTCTGTTCTTCTGATTTCTATGCTTTGTTTCTCATTTGACACCTGATGAGAAAACTGCTAAGCCCTGCTAATACTGACACATGGAGGGGGAAAAAGCACCAAAAACAAACGAGCACAGCCTGAAGACTGAAACCGTTTTGAAAGGGGACCTCAGCCTAGTTGTCAGTTTTTAGCAGGCATGCACGCTAGTCATTTTACTTTCAAAAGCTACAGGCTTATAGTTCAATAAACCACAATGGGAAGATTTTAGGTGGAGTTGCAGTGTGCAGATCTTCAGTGAAAGAAAGCTGAGCCCTATGTAGCAGGAGGTCCTTTTTCTATTAGGGCCCAAAGAAACTGTGACAGTGGTGCAGGACTTGAATTGACTGACAAATAGGTTGCATCGGACCTGCCTTTTTGTGTCAAGAAATTAACGTCTATTTTTTGTGATTCAGCACTTCCCAGGTCAGAACTGAACAGCTGTAATTCAGCTATCTAGTTTGAGTTGTCTTGTCAGTTCTGATGCTTTTGTACTGCCATAAGGAGTTCTAGGTCTCATTTTGCTTAGCATTGACCAAGAGTGGCAAATACAACTGTAGAAAAAGATATCTTAAATTATATCGTCAGAGATGGAGGTAATGAGTAGACTCAGCCATTGACATAACCCATCTATTAATTCAGAGTCGTAATCTTTCTGCTTACCTTAAAGATAATTCAAAATTTTACCTCCCTTTTTAATAGATTTTTCAGTGACTGGATATTTTACATTTAAATACGTTTGTTTTGGAGACCCTAAATTTATACTGAGAGGCATTAAAACCCTAATATGCTATTGCTTTGTTTATAAATGCATTTTTAATGCCCCTTGGTTTGTGTGTGTGCATAAATATATGCAGCACAGTAATATTTAAGATGATATCTGGTTTTAGCACCAAATGAGAAGAAGCCTCATTTTCTCAGAAGAAACTGGTTTATTCTCAACCTGCAAGGGATCAGTTACAGCATATGTTTCAGAGAGAGTTGTCTTTGTTGTTTTTAGACAGAAGGCCTCATAGCTGATAAGATCACATTATGACATCATTTCAGTCTCTGCACTGAGGTTGAACCTAAGGATTAAACAGTTTGAAAAAGCTGTTAAGGACATGAAACAGTGAATGGACAGTACCTCTTTATACTATGGATATGGATGCATTTTTCTGGAGGGTAGATTTTGTAGGTGACCCAAGCTTCAAATCACATGTCATTTTCAATTGCTGTTCCAACCTGTGGCACGAGTATCTTGTATTTAAGACGCAGAAGTATTAGACCAGGGCATGTGACGTTCCAATAGTCTCCTCCAACTTTGTTCTCTGCAAAGTAAAACAGATGGATATCGTTCAATATGTATTTGTATCAGTCCTTAAACAGACTACACTATATGTACTCCTATGTTCTGAGCAGCCTGTTTATATAATAAAGAGAAATGTCTTACGGCATGGTTATAGAAAAACTAAAATATACCCATCAAGCAGCTTAAAGCTTAAGTCAGAATCAATCCAGTGCTCTGTCACATTTAGGTGAAGGTTTCAGTTCATCTGCAGATCCTAAAGAATCAAAACTATTTTAATCAAAATATAAGTTTAAGTAGTAGCAATTCAGCAACAATCTCCAAACATGCATAGAAGAATATGAAGTAGGCTATTTGCAGATTTTCCTGGCCTGTAGGCTCTTCAGCATTCATCGATGATTGTATATAAACCACTTTCAGAATGGTTCCATACAATTCCTTCATTGTCTTCACTGTTTCTTCAATATTAGTGTTTATCTGCAGTGTTTGTAGCAACAGGGGGATGGTACACATCTCAGCTGTGAACTCTTGTTTCCTACTTGCCCTCTATTTTTTATTTTTTATGTAGATGTCCTCAACACCACCTTACAATCCTGATCTTTTTCATTTGCGTTTTCTACTGGGCACTGCAATGTGAACAAACTTTCCAGTGGTAGCTGAATTTTAGATGACACTGCCTGGTGCCTCCCTTTCATGACATTTCAATACCGCAATCCACACTAGCAGTGGAAAAGATGGCTCTGGTGGTAGTTATTAGTTTTCCTTCCTTAGTGGTGATGTTCACTATATTTTTTTTAGAAACTGCATAGAGAAATGTTAAGATTTCCTTTAAGCAATGCAATTTTAGCAAGTCTTTTTTTTTTACTATTTAAAAGGGCACTGAGTAACATTTCAAGGTGTTTCTCTTTTAAATTGCACTTGTGATTATCATTTTTTTTTAAAAGAATATCCAGTCTTGTTCTTAAATTTCTCATATACATTCCTAGAGGCTGCTCTGTAAAGCTGTGGTTACTTGTCAGTTTAGTTTCATTACATTTATGACAAAAGAAGCTTTGAATTTGTTACACCAATTGCTTGTTTCCAATTGAAAGGATAACATTAGAGGAACAGTGGCCAGATTGATGCATTTTTATTCTTTCCTGACTCTGAAGTATCCTGTGATCTTTCTGCATGTAAGAGAGAAGATAGTTTTTCCTTATAATGACCAGGCCAGCTGAGGTCTGTATAATCCAAGGTACTGTGATGTTTTGTTTGCCAGAGGTACGTAGTTTTTTGGGGGGAGTTTACTTTTTATTCTAAAAATTCCTTATATTCTTCTGTTCTACTTTCTGTTGCACACTTGATTGAGGACGACACTCAAAGACACTACTTAAAGATGCTTAGCTGTTTCTTCTAGACCTTTGATCAAATCAATGTTCTCCCTTAACGTGTTTGCCAGCTTTTGAAGTACCTCAGCAAAGTCCAGTGATACCATCCTTATAGAACTAGGCTCAGGTGATTTCTAGTGTGCTGCATCTGTGCAGTCTTTTTGCTCACATGACCAGGCCTTTCTTATACATAATTTAACTTAAAGTACATTACTTCCATCCCTTCCTTGCTTTGTAGTCTAAATGGACACAATTTCAGGCACAAATGTTCGCACTTAGTCACATGTCCACACATCTGAATTATTTCTTCTTTATGTCTGTTTATAAGTATTCCTGCAGTCTTAGTGTCAAAAGACCAAGTAATACATAATTAGAAAATGTATGCACCGTGTTGCTAGGACTATAGGATTGAGCTACACCGAGGTGATCAGGTTCTTTTTGATTTTCCAGTCTAGCTCTTTAATTTTTCCAGATGCAAGGCTGTATTATTGACCGATATGTTAGTGTAGTAAAGGTGTAAGGATTTTATTCATGGTTGTTAACAGGGTACAAGGATTCATAACCAAAAAACACTGTGTGCTGTAGAAGAGTTGCATACAACTTCTGTTCAGCTATCTGGGTAATGTTCACAGGAAGTGTTTAGAATGATGCTGACTGAGATGGTTACAAATTTGTAATGGAAGAACATCTACCAAAATGTATATTGGTTGATCTAGATGAGTTCCTGGAAAGCTGCAGGGTTTGAACTCCCATGGTCAGTGAGCAGTGATCTGGAAAGATTATTAACGCGTCCTAATTAAGCTATTGATTGATCTGCAGCGTGATTCTGAACCACGCTGCAGTGAAAACCAGGGGATGTCGCACACCCTTCCCCTAAATCGGTTCTCCAGTTGGAAAAAGGAAAAAAAACCAATACCTGGCAAGAGAAGGAGAGTTATTAGTACCTTTAAAGCACGATGGCCCCCCAAAAAACTGTTTTTAATTGAAATTTTGAAATGATTGAGAAATTAGATTAACCAGAAAAATAATGTATAATCTCATCCTCTGGGTCAATTTTATTTCCCAAACTTAAGCATGAAACAGCTTCAATTTTCAGCGTGGCTTTATATTGCACTCCATCAGGGAGATCTGAATTGATGACCACGCCTGTCATGAACATGTTTCTCTGTAGGTTTGATACTGTAATAAGTGGTTTCTTAAAATCCATAATGGAACAACGATGGGTGTTGCGCCACCCAGTGCATCCAGGTAAACGTTTTCAGATATGGGCCAGCTTGTATACTTCCACATGTAAGGTTAGAGTATTGCAGAATGCTTTTGTGCAGTGGGCAATCTTGATTTTTTTGGTACCCACTAGGTGGCATTGTGTCTTGTAATATGAAGCGATCAAATGAAGTAACTAGCAATGAAGCTAATCTGCTGTCCACCATTTAGATTGAGCTTGTTTGCAAAAGAGCATTTACTCAGAATGGCTGTTCCACAGCATGTAATTATAACTGTTTATTTTTAAGCATACCGCAATCTCTTAAGGGTTGTCAAATGACAAAACTGACATCCCCCCAAAAGACCCCCCTCTTGCTTTTCAACACATGTTTTCTTGCTTCTTACAAGGCTGGTCTGCAGAAATTCACTGCCCTCCTGTTAAGCAAATGGTATCAGCCAATTGATTTAATTATTTTGCCAGGATTTGAGTTTCTCTTTTTTGTTACCTTGAGGGTTGTTCCTGCACGGTGGAGATCCATAGTATTGAAGTATTGGCTGTATTGTAGAGTGAAGATATTGAGAGAGCCTCTTCATAGTGTGATATGTCCTGATATTTCAGTCATTAGAGCTGTCTTGTGATTTCATGGCACCCAAAGTGCACAAAGGTGGCACAAGAAATGGAATGTACTGCTAAAAGTATAACAGTCCTTGTCCTTGTATTGATCCTGATGCTGAGTGGTTTTCTGTAGCAGTGATTCTCTGTGTGAAGCACATTCGAGGCTGTGTCCAATCACCTCTCCCAGAATAGTGTGTGTGTGTGTGTGTGTGTGTGTGTGATGAGACGCCAGAGTCTGCTGTTTTTGTCCAGATTGGTGCACTCGTGGTGAATGACACTGTATTCCTGTTAGGTACATATTAAAAATTCCAAAGCGGTGTATTTGTTTTGTTTCTTAAAAAGAAATGCGCTTGGCTTTCAAAGGTGGGGGATTCTTATCTTTATGCTTTCAGATAAGTGTGTTTGTATGTTTTTTTTTTCCCTAAATGTCAACTTACTACAATGTTGGATAACTGTGCAGAGGCGCACTGAGCCTAGAGCTGTAAAATAGGTGACGTCAAGTGGAGACTGAGAAATTACACTGCAGATCTGTGTTGCTTTTATATAGGACTCAATTCAAGACCAAATCAGACTGGTCCACAATAGGAAACAAATGGCAGCCTCTCTGACACAACCCTACCTATTGTCTTATCCATTGCTGTTTGATGGCACTGTTTTTACCTTTTTATTATGTATGAAACACTATGCTGAACGAGCAAACTTTTCGGTATTTTCTTTTTTATTTAAGGTTAGTGTTGTCTTCCAAAAATAGAAACGAAAACTTTTAAAGCATCAAATGTTTTGACATCTGACAATAATTGTATGGAACACAGCTGAGTTCTCTTTTTTCCATTTTCAGTTTTCATTCTGAGCCAGTTGAATTATGTGTAAATTCATTTTGTTTGTTTTTCATTGTAAAAGCAATCTGAAGAGTAGATGAGCTCAGAGGTTTAAATTCTTTAAGGCACGTTTAATGTAACAAAAGTAATGTATTAATACTTAAAATTTTCAATAAAGATTGAATTGTGTTGCTTAATTGTGTTGTACTTTTTCTGCATGCTCCAAGAGTCTCTTTGCGTCTGAACAGGGCTGTCGGTGTTCATCCCATTCACACTAATAGCAATAATGATTTGATTCAAATTCAAGTTTCATTGACACTGACATGTTCTGGAAGCAAGATTTTTTAGTTCAGGTAAATAATGTGGGCATGTGTTCTTATACAAGTGGACACCGCTAAATTGTACAAAGATCCCTCTGCTTCCAGAACTGTATTTGCTTTGTATGTTGATTCCCGAGTCTCATTCTTCCTGTTTGGAGTCTTAATGGTTTCCACTGCCAGTGGGATCAGTGTAAGGCTAACTGAAAGTGCCAGTTGAGCAGTATTCTGTGTAGCCCATGTTGTACATATTTGTACCTTTTACAAAGCTAACAATGAGTAAGAAGCAAGTAAAAAGTACTGTTTATCACTACACCCTCTCAGTGTTATTGCATTGAAATTTAGTTGGATAGCTGCAAAACCATCAGCATTTATTACAGCGTATCTCCAGAACTGTACATGATTATTTAGTAATTCATAAGAAGGTGATAAGTGTCATGGAGCAGCTATTTATTCAAGTCAAAGATGGACTGAGACGTCCTATATTTCTTGGTAATTATATAAGGAGTTTCAAACCAAAAATAATTTACAAGGACGCAGGAAAGTTTTTTTTTCTGTAGAGGCTGCACCGGCATTATTATGATGTCATACATACATGACATTTTACTGTCAACAACAGGATAACTGTGAATGTGTAATTTCCACACTGCTGAGTACTGTGTATGGCCAGTGTTGGAAGCAATACAGGCTGGTGCAACTTGCACCAGTTTGCAGATGCTGCCATGTGTGATTCTTGCTCATTCCTCTCTCATAGATGTGTGTCACATCACCTTTCTCTGAGGATCTTACTATCTTATCTTACTATCCTGTGCTGCTCAAGTAATGGCAGTAAGGGATGTTTGGCTGTGACAGCAAGCAACAGTGCAGATTTTAGTCCAGCCTTCAACAGACTGATGGCACAAAGGCACTTGTCTCTTGATAACATGGCCAAAATTTCCCTTCTGTTTCTTTCTTGATTTCCACAGGTTTGATATTCAGCAGGGTGAATGCCTCATCTGTGCTCAATCTAATAAACGGATTTGGTGCTCATGCAAGTTACTTGAGTGTATCAGTCAGGTTTGAATAATCAATACTAATGATTCCTAGAGCAGTGAAACTAAAACTACTGTCCACAATCTCTCTACTTTTCTATCATCACACATGCCATAAATAATGATGCTTCGTTTGATGCTAATACAGCTTAGGCAGGGAGTGGCTAAATCCAAAGTACAGGAAATGTACAAATGCTTCAATGAAGATGGAGGCCTCAGTTAAACCAAGTAAAATCCAAACAGCTGCAACCAGAACCAGAAGGGAGTGACACTGGAGGACTGTTCGAGAAAATGCTTTGCAAATTGGTTGCTCTCGACGGAGGAACAAGATTAGTTAACCCACTTAGTTCAATGAGCTCATTAAAAGGAAATGTAAGTGTGACCTGTGCCCCAGGAGATTGGCATTGAAGATCTCTCATGGCAGCATGGTGGCACATGGTGCCTTGGAGTGCTGGGGCTCCAAGTTTAGTTCCTGGGATTCGTGTGGGTTTCCTCCCATAATCCATGCTGTCAGATTAATTGGTTTCTGGGAAAACTGGCTCTGGTGTACACTGGTGTGTGTCTGTGGCGTCCTGTGTATATCCTCCCTTCTACCCATTTCTCTCCGGGACCAGTTCCATCCAGCCCCCCAGCCAGTGACCCTGTACTGGATAAAGTAAAGCAGTTACTAAATGGATGTATGTATGAATATAACTCTATACCATAAATTCATGAAGGACACTCAACTTTATCAGATCCTGTAGGAAAGGTAGCATGAAATGAAATCCATTCATAAGCAAGACCAGCTCAGCCAATGAAGGACACATTGAACAATTTTATTTCCCATGGTTTGAATGGAGTGCATATGTAAACAACCATACACATACAAAGATAATATACAAACACTGTCATTTTTTTTTCTTTTTCCTTTTTTTAAACAAACTATACTTACATTTCACAAGGGGCTAGCTCACGCTGAAATATAAAACATTTGCAGGAAGCATAATCACTGGCATTCTCCCACAAAGTCAGAGCAGGACTTTGTTTTCAGTAGGTTTGTCAAAATATGTACATAAATATTGCATTTTTTCTGGACCTTAATGCTTTAAATAAGTACTGAAAAGCAGACAGAACTGAAAGTTGTACATCAAATAAACCATTGCAATCCCATTTTTCCTCCAGAGCTTTAGCATAACTCCAACTCTACACTTGAAGAGTTTCTTTGTATTTCTCATCAGCTGTAAAAGCAATAAAAAAACCCTCAATATTTCTGCTTCACTGAATCATGTTATTCTTCAAGGTAATATGTAATAACCCCAGCACAGCACCTGTTCACATGCAGTGTTATCCTTAATGCAACAGATTATTTGAGATACAGAACTTCTGTTGTGCAGCAGTACACACAGACTTACAGTTCGATAGAAAAGAGGTCATTAATGCATTAAGGTAGCATATATATTTGATCTTTTTGATTACTAAAGAAAGGGCTGGATTACCAAAGCACAAACAGAATTGATTTAGCAACAGGTGCAACAGTGCAATAATATCATATTTATTGCAACAACAATTATTTTAGTTGTTGGGATCAGGAAATACAGAACTCCAGATTTAAAAAAATCCAATTGGTTTGAGACCATTTTCCAAGCGGTTTGGCATGCAGTTTCACACTGGCATAATAATAGAATCAGGTGACCTAATGTATGAGCTGTTTTGTTCTTTTTGAAAAACCAGGTCAGACTAATTTTAAAATCGAGCAGTGCTTTTGAGCTAAAGCTTGCACAAGTGCTTCCGATTTACATACAAAGCTTGAGTTCTGAAAAACTACGTGCAGAATTCTGGATGCAGTCTTTTGGGAAAGTACACAAAATAATCCTCATCTTCCATTTTCGAATCCTGTTGACAAGCTGAAAGAAAAGAGTCCTTTTAAAATAGACAAACCTGTCCAGAACATCACATACAAATTAAACAGGCGATCCACTTGTGCAAACTGGTTGGAAACCTACAAATTTACCACAAGAGGGCATGAAATGTTACACATGCTGAGGAGAAACTGGAGGTCTTGCTGAGGAAATAGCTGGTTAAGCTCTTGAGGTGCTGTAAAAGCAGGGAGGGGTTATCCTACAAATATAAATAAAAGATCCCTTTTAAAATAATGCTTTGGCTTTTGTGCCTTCTGCCTTCCACTTTGCTTTTCACACAGAACATTAAGTTGCGATCACAACCTCTTTAACACTGTTAATTAAGCCACATACTGTAGTTCTCCAGCAGTACTTCTGCTCTGTTCCTTGCAATCTGTTCAGTGCCTCTTTTACACGGATGACACACTGGTTCTGACCCCTGATGACAACAGAAACTTGCCTGAAAGGTGTTCAAAAGGTGAACTTGACGGGACACAAGTGACGAAAAGAGTAAGATATTTTTAAAAGAATGGCCTTCGGAGCTGTGAAATTTCTCAGCCTAACAATTGCAGATCCTGTCAGCAGTGGCTCTGTCAAGCAGAAAAAAATTTGCAGCGCTGCTGCATCGACTGTACTGTCTCCAGCATCTTCACTGCTGTGAAGCTGACAGAATTTTTTCCGTACAGTGGGCTGATCTCGTCAGATCACTGTGCTCCTGCTTCTCCCTGTCTGAAAGATGCTGAAAAAATAGGGCAATGTAGATTCTTCGAGAAAATACCTCAGCATGCTATACAGCCTTTAGAAAAGCCGCCATTAAAATGACTGAACTGTGTCTGATGCTGACATTACAGAAATATAATGAAGTGCTAATCCTCTCTGTGAGGTACTGCCATGACATACAAGTCAACATCTGGAACACCGTGGACCTTTTCTACATATACAAATAGTAAATCAAAACAGATTAGTTTAGGCCCCTACAGATTTATGTGATGTTCATTAATTTGTCATTTTTTATATAAGTTATATGTTTTTTAGTACTTTTTGCATGTCATTTGTTCTTAAATAGTTCAGCATCAGAGTCATGTACAGTTCAAAATGCTGGTAGCCAGTCCTAATCCATGAAACTCACAAGCAGTGTTGGGGAAAGTTACTTTTAGAACATAATCCATTCCAATATTTGTGTAAGGAATTACTTTTCTAGTGAAGGGAAAAAAAAACATTAAAAAGTCATCACTTAAAGTGATCTTTGTAGTGTGTCTAAAGAAATACTTTATGTCTTAAGAGCAATTTCCCACAACACCTCATTGATCTTAAATGTCATCCCTTACACAAGGAAACAACACTGCTCACAGACTTGGAGGTTTCAAGAATGTGTTCTAGTAGGGACCCCCCAGAGGAATCAAAACAGACGGGCTGGGGTTGTTTGCTGGTGCTATCACACATAATGACCTTGGTTTTGGATAGTCTTCCCCACAAACGGCAAAAATTCACATACTGCCAGTACTACTGAGTCCAGTCTGGAATCATACTGGTAACAGGTTTTTGAAAAGATGAGCTGATGATGAATGCTGTGAGTTAGTTTGGCCTTGTTCTTAAAAATTGCATTTTAATATTTAAAAACAACATACAATTACTTCTGTATTGTTAAAATACAGTATAGGCACATTTTGCAATCTTACATGCTTAAGTAAAATTTTTTAAACCATAAAATATATCAGTTCTGGAATACAATTAAGAGATTTTTGTCCTAATGGCATTCTCTTAAAAATATACAGTACCTTTGCCATTATTGTTTTTATTAAATATTTGGTTGCCAGCCAGCTTTCCAAAACAAACTATTGAGATTTAATGTTAAGTACCATCTTATTATCAAATCTGTTCAGTCCCTGGGAGTATTGTTTGGAGAGCGGCACTGCTGTTGTGTAACAGGCCTGATCCAGAACTGTTCACAATAACTTTAAAGTTGTTGTAAACTTTTTCCTCACATGAATCAAACACAAATTCAGCATTTTCCCGTTCAAGAAGGAAACCAAAGTATAGGTATGAACCTAATGAGCTAGATTAAAAAACTTCTAAGTTGTTCATAAAATGCCCTTAATACATTGTTGTAACTGCACATTCTCTGTGCACGTAATTTATTTTGTGTGGTTATTTTAAACAATTTTAGACAAGGTTTCTTCCGGCTAAATTTAAATTTGCTGTGAGGCAATGCTTGTTCAACATACTTTTAAAAACAAATACTTTCTGCTCCAGGGTCTCAATCGCTTTGATTTAATGCAATGTAAAATAACATTTGCTCAATCTTTTATTCATTGGACAATGAATGAATGTGCAAAGGTTTGATTATCAGAGGATTTAAAAATGTTCTCAATAATTGCTGAGCAGCAGCAATTCTTAAATTTCTGCAAGGTTTCTAAATATAGTTTTTAAATGGCACTTCACAAAAGAAGCTCATTAATAAAAATAAATTATCATAACAGAAAATTAATGGATCAGGCCCTGTATATACATAATATACTTAACAGACAAGCCTTCCCTGTTGTGTTTCAGGTGAAATGTCACCTAGACAGAGAATAAAGAAGATTTATCTTTGCATAAACGTGCAGACACTGGAATCTGCTGCCCAAAATCCCTTAATAAAATAAAACAAGTAGAATGACATCAAATTTGGGGATCACTTAGCAAAATGCGATGCTGTGCTACATGGAACCCTTTTCTTTTCCTCTGCTCATAGACCTTAAATTACAATTACACACAAAAAAAAAAGAAATCTGGCACTGTGAACAGTTGGCATTCAATGAAAAAAAACAAACGCTGAGAAAAGTCCTTTCTTCAGTCAAGGTCTATCAAATAAATAGATGTTATCGAAGAGTTATTAGGAGTAGTAGTAGGTGCAGTTGTAGTAGTAGTTGTAGTTGAAGTGCTAAGTTTTAGCAGTAATGCTGACCTTCTCCCAAATTATAAACAGAGTCCGGGAGCACAGGCTCAAAGTCTGATTGTAACCAACCTATAAAGTGCTTTCTCACAGAAAATCATAGTAATAATAACAGTAAGGAAATTAAAAATAATGAATAAAAAGTCCTTTGAATTTCCATTCAGGCACAAGCTCTTCCTCCTCACTTTTTAAAGGGCGTCAGTCTGCCGATGTTCTGCCAGAAGTTGGAGGTCTTGCGTTTGGGCTCGGCCAGCAGGAAGACCTGCTGCTGGGGCAGGGCAGCTGGCAGGGTGGGGTGCTTCTGTCTCAGCAGGAAGTCGTAATAAGGCCGGGTCATGGCTGCGGGACAAGGAGGAGGTGAGCACAGAGGAACAGGCCCGAGCGGCAAAACACACGGGCCTCTCTAGCACCGTCTACAAGTCCAGGTGAGGACTTGCCTGGAGAGTCCCTTATTTCTCAGATAATACTTCCTACCAGCAACAAGAATGCCTGACA